ATCATACTAGTGGTACCCCTGCTTTTCATTGGGGGATGTTGCATCATCTGCCGAGTCTTTTGCTTTCATAGGGAGTGATTTTCGTGTGCAAGTTCGGTAATAATCCCTCTAGGATTTTCCAAGTGTATATAATCATGTATCTCTCCCGCCTGCATTCTAGGGAGTACAGGTTGAGGAACTTCAAGCGTTCCCAGTAATTGAGGTGTTTTATCACAGTTATGTGTGCCGTGAAGGTTCTCTGTACACTTTCTAGGTCAGCAATTTCAATTGCGTTGAAAGGTGCTGTTAGTGTGTAGCAATATTCCAGCCTAGATAGAACAAGTGACGTGAAGAGTGTCATCATGGGCTTGGCATCCCTAGTTTTGAAGGTTCTCATTATCCATCCTGTCATTTTTCTAGCAGATGCAACTGATACAATGTTATGATCTTTGAAGGTGAGATCCTCTGACATGATCACTCCCAGGTCTTTCGCATTAGTTTTTCGCTCTATTGTGTGGTTGGAATTTGTTTTAACTTCCTCATGTTTTCCATATCAGAGTACCGTGGAACTCCGGTTTTCGCACACTCCAGTTATCAGATGTTTCTGTTTTAGGACCGTTTTTTTGTGCGAAATTTTGTTCCAGATATCGGACCTTTCTCTGGTAATCAGACGTATTACATGCGTCTGCCCTCCTGGCAGCCCAGGGGATGTTGCCACTACACCTCTCAGTCTGCCTTTGTTACTGGTCGAGTGAGCATTACTTCGCCCATTCCAAAACATTTCGTAATAATCTCTTGTTTTTGGTACTTGTTTTTTAATTGTGACTGCAAAATAAGTCAGCATGGGCCCAAAGAAGTTTCTAGTGCCAGTCCTTTGATAAAGAAGGCGAGAAACACGCAGAAATAAAGAAAGATATCGTACAAAAATACAAAAGTGGCATATGTTTAACCGACCTTGCCAGGCTGTATGGGAAGTCGAAGTCAACAATCTTCTCCCTCCTGGTAAAGAAAGTAGAAATCAAGGAAGCTAAAGTTGCGAAAGGGGTGAATGTGCTAACGAAACAAAGATCACAAACAGTGGAAGATATGGAGAAGTTGTTGTTGGTGTGGATCAATGAAAAACAGCTAGCGGGAGACAGTGTTGTGGAGTTGATCATTTGTGAAAAGGCAAGGTAGTTACATGTGGATCTCATGAAGAAAATGCCAGGAACGAATGCTGCTGTTAGTGATTCTCAGGCCAACAGAGGCTGGTTCAACAGATTCATGAAGTGTAGTGGCATACACAGTGTTGTAAGGCATGGTGAGGCTGCAAGTTCAGACAATCGTGTGGCTGAAAAATTCAAGGGGTACGTAGAGACTAAAGAATTCCTCCCCCAACAAATGTTTAATTGTGACGAAACAGGCCTCTTTTGGAAGAAAATGATAAAGAGGACCTACATCACACAGGAGGAAAAGGCACTGCCAGGACAAAAGCCTATGAAAAACAGGCTAACTCTCTTGTTCTGTGCTAATGCTAGTGGGGATTTCATAGTGAAGCCTTTATGGTGTATCACTCTGAAAATCCCAGAGTGTTCAAGAAAAAAATGTCTTCAAGAGTAAATTGTGTGTGTGATGAGGAAAGCTAATAATAAGGTATGGGTCACGAGGCAAATTTTCAAAGAGTGGGTCCATGATGTATTTGGCCTGTATGTGAAAAAATACCTCCTGGAAAAGAAATTGCCACTCAAGTGCCTCCTGGTAACGGACAATGCTCCTGCTTATCCTCCAGACTTGGAAGACCAATTGTCTAGGGACTTCAGTTTTATAACAGTGAAGTTCTTGCCCACCTAACACTACTCCTCTCATCCAGCCCATGGACCAGCAGGTCATTTCTAACTTCAAAAAACTCTACACCAAAGCAATGTTTCAGAGGTGCCTTGAAGTGACCTCGGACACTGAATTGACCCTAAGATAGTTCTGGAGGGATCACTTCAATATCCTCCATTCCATAAGCCTTATAGGTAAGGCTTGGCAGGAAGTGACTTCCAGGACTTTGAACTCTGCTTGGAGAAAATTGTGGCCAGAATGTGTCCAAGAGAAGGATTTTGAAGGGTTTGAGGCTGACCCTGTTGACCCTCTGCCTTTTGTGGAATCTATTGTGTCACTGGGCAAGTCCATGGGGTTGGATGTGAATGGCAAGGATGTGGAAGAGTTGGTGGAGGACCACAGGAAAAGGCTAACCACTGAAGAGCTGCACTTATTATTATAATAAAAAAAGAAGCGCAAGACCTTCAACTCAAACAGCAACAGACTGCAGCTGAGAAAATTGCTCCAGAGGAGGAGGCAGAGAGAGGGGAGAAGGTGCCTTCTTCAGTGATTAAGGACATATGTGCAAAGTGGAGGGAGGTGCAAAGTTTTGTGGAGAAATACCACCCTGACCAAGCTTAAATGAGCCAAATCTGCAACATGTTCAGTGACAGAACCTTGTCCCACTTCAGACAAATCTTACAGAGACACCAGAAACAGACCTCTCTGAACAGATATTTTGTGCGACAGGGGTCCAGTGACTCTCAAGCTAGTCCTAGTGCCATTAAAAGACAAAGAAAGGAAATAACCTCAGAGAGGGACTTGATACCTAGAGTCCTTATGGTGGGGGATTCCCCTTCCAATCAATAACTTCAACTTTCTCTCCCCTCTTCAATATGCCAACAAGAGTCTTCAATAAAGGTACGTAATGTTTATATTTATTTATCATTTTTTGTGTATGTAAAACTATATTTATTCTTCAAAAAATTAATTTTTTGTGAATATTTTTGGGTGTTTGGAACAGATTAATTGTATTTACATTATTTCTCATGGGAAAAATTGATTCAGTTTTTGCACGTTTCGGTTTTAGAAGCACCTTCTGGAATGGATTAAGCTCAAAAACCGGGGTTCCACTGTAATTGAAATTTCTTGTCAATGAACTTCATATTGTCTTCTGCGGTCCATTTAAATATTTGGTTGATGTCCACCTGGAGTCTCGTGGTGTCTTCAGTGGAGGACACTGTCGTGCAAATTCAGGTGTCATTTGCAAAGGAAGACATGATGCTGTGGCTTACATCCCTGTCTATGTCAGATATGAGGATGAGGAACAGGATGGGAGAAACTACTGTGCCCTGTGGAACACAGCTTTCCACAATAGCTGCCTTACACTTTACTCTGTTTACTACTACTCTTTGTGTTCTATTTGTTAGGAAATTATAGATCCACCTACCAACTTTTCCTGTTGTTCCTTTACCACACATTTTGTGTGCTATTACACCATGGTCACACTTGTCAAAGGCTTTTGCAAAATCTGTGTATACTACATCTGCATTTTGTTTGTCTTCTAGAGCATCCAGGACCTTGTCATAGTGGTCCAGTAATTGGGACAGGCAGAAGTGACCTGTTCTAAACCCATATTGCCCTGGGTTGTGTAACTGATGGGTATCTAGATGGGTGGTGATCTTGCTTCTTAGAATCCTTTCAAGGATTTTTAAGATATGGGATGTTAGTGCTATCAGTCTGTAGTTCTTTCTTTCTTGGGTTTATGAGGGCCACTGACAGCATAAGCCATATCGAGCCCAGTTTCTCGATGGTACGTGGAAGATTTGTTGCTCAAGGCTGAGCGATGAGAGAAAAGGAACAGAAGTTCCTTTGTAAATAAAGATAGAAACTTGAAGTTTCCAATTAGATCCGGTGGACCCCCTTGCCAAGCCCCAGCAGAGGGACGCCTACACTCAGATAAGATAAGATTTCGTTCGGATTTTTAACCCCGGAGGGTTAGCCACCCAGGATAACCCAAGAAAGTCAGTGCGTCATCGAGGACTGTCTAACTTATTTCCATTGGGGTCCTTAATCTTGTCCCCCAGGATGCGACCCACACCAGTCGACTAACACCCAGGTACCTATTTGCTGCTAGGTGAACAGGACAACAGGTGTAAGGAAACGTGTCGGAATGTTTCCACCCGCCGGGAATCGAACCCGGGCCCTCCGTGTGTGAAGCGGGAGCTTTAGCCACCAGGCCACCGGGCCACTCCCACCTGAGTTCAGTAACCGGCTTCCCATCAAAGACCGTTTAAGAATTTTCCACAGCGGAAAAAATGGAGCTGGCTAAAAGTAAGCCGATGAACAGGTGCCCCTCCTGTAGAGTGCCCGGCGGGCAAAACAGATGAGCACAAGCGTCCCAGCGAGAGCAGGGGAAATTTGTCACTGATACTCAGGTGAGAGAGAGACGTTCACACCTGACGAATGCTGGCACTGAAGTTCCATCGGTCTGTAGTTCTTTGCTGTTGTTTTACTGCACCCTTTATGGGGTGGAGATATGTCTGTTGTTTTTAGCAGCTGTGGGACAACCCCTGTGTCCATGCTTACTCTCCATAGGATGGGTGAACATAGACAACAGGTGTAAGGAAATGCACCCAATGTTTCTACCCTTGCTGGCAATCGAACCTAGACCCTCGCCATGTGAAGTGAGAGCTTTAGCCACCAGGCCAAGGGGCACCAATTATCATACCTAGTAACATGTGTAAATTACCTAGGATAAGCCAAAATAGTCAATAGTGGCTTATTTCCATTTGGGTCGTGCAAAGGAATGGATGGCAATTAGGTATGATTCGAGGAATTAGAAGGTAGCTCAAATTAGTTGGATCAAGAGCCCTTCAACATCAAGGCAGCTCCCATGAATGGAACAATATTACAATGTTTAGAACAGCAACTCAGCCTAGACAGGGGGATACAAATGTTTATTTAAGCCTCATACATAATTTAAAACCTTTACAATAGTTTTTATATAGTAAATTATGTAGAAGTGAACCTAGGATAAGCCAACAGTCAAACAATATGACTTATTTCCATTGGGGCCCAGACATTTACATCTTTCACGCTTCATCACCTGTAAGTTCACCAAGCACAGAGCCAATCAGACTAGTTCGTGGCTTAAGAGTACTTCCTGTGATTTACTTCATGAGGCTACATTCATTTTTGAGATTTAATTATAATTATAAAGGCGTCTGTCCTACCTCAAGATGAACAATGTTACCATCCGGGTCGCCTAATGGTCAGAGACGCTCATTTGTTAATTTAATTACAGGCGGAGTTTCCTCTGTCGGGATTAACATGATCTACGAGTTCGTAAGAGCCTTTATGTTAAATGAACTGTTCACATGAGAAAGCTTATAAGGTTGCATGGTGTCTTAAAAACAGCAGGTGTCTTTTAGCGTCGACGCTACATAACCTGCGTCTAGTGAGCCTCCGCCATATTGGATGCTTGTAAACAGCACTCGTCCGATTACGATCTCACGATATTACTTTCAATAAAATTAATTAATACTGCTATTTCTCCACTTCAAAAACCATCACAGGATTCCTATTTAATTCTATTTTGAAATATCAAAGTAAAAATTTAGCTCATGTAATTATAACCTGTGCTGGAAATCAATAAAGATACAGACATTTTCAATCGTTATTTTCCTCGTTCACCGTGTCATTAATTATAGTATGTTATTGACAGATACCCACATACCCAAAATAAATAACAGCAAATATAGCAACTGTTTTCAGAAATCCCGAAAAAAAAAATTTAAGATAATATAGGCTCGTAGCTAAGGTAGTAACGCCTTCAGGTCACATCTGAAGAACCCGAGTTCGATCCCGGGGGAAGTAAACCTGTAAGTATATTTAGGTACAGTTACACATGTACAATTACACAAGTTTATGTGATGACAATTGTCTTACATAGTAACATGCAAAACAACAACTGGGGGGAGTTGAATGACAGCTCTAGGCCTTTTGTGTTGCATCCAACACTTTTTAAGAGCTAAGATAAACCCCAAAAAAGCCACTGACTTACTTCTACTGGGATCCTTGTAATATCTTACTAATAAATACAGTAGAAATAAACTATGATTAAATCATAAAAATTTAAAACAACCAAGAAACTCAACTGCTGAAAGTCACTTGCAATAAAAAGGTACAACAGAAATAAAGTAAACTGAGAAATTTATATAAACAGTAAATAAAAAAAATCAGCTTAATATAATAAGTACACGAATGTCAACTACACAAGAAATCACCTTCCTTTCTGAAAATATAAACACATATGCAGTATAATGTGACCTTTATTGACAACGTTTCGCCCACACAGTGGGCTTTTTCAAGTCACAAACAGATCTACCTGGGGTGGAAGGTATGCGAGTATTTATAGTCAGGTTCAGAATATTGGGTCAGGTGGAGAATGCTGCACCTGATGATCTACCGAGTGGGGTTCGATTCTAACATCTTGGGTAGCTTGGAAGGGAGATTGGATAAGTTTGTGAGCAGACCTTCTGCAGTGTTCCTCCATTTCTGTTCTTATGTGGGATAGCGATGAAGAAGTTTCTTGGCAAGTGGTTCAGCTATGTTACAGAAGCCATTGTTCTGGATGAAGTTGTCGGATATGGAGATAAGTGATGATTCCAGGATTCTTCGGTATTGAGTGTTGTCTTCTGTGGAGAGAAGTCTTGAGTTTCTGTAGTTTATTAAGTGGTTGTGTTAATTACGGTGTTGTACACAGGCATTTCTTGTATCGTCAGACCTGCTTGCGTATTGGTGTTCTGAAGTACGTGTTTGGAGGTCTCTTGATGTTTCGCCCACGTATAATTTGCTGCAGTCATTACAAGGGACCAGACCTACCTGGAGTTCATTACATTTGTAAATTGTGAGTTCATTACCTTTGTAAATTGTGAGTTCATTACCTCTGTAACTTGCTCAGCTATCAAAACTACGGAGTCCAGTCCCTGGACCAATTATGTACCTCTGTAATCTTTTGACTACCGCCCACAGGATGGGTATGGGGTGCATAATAAACATATTAAACTAACTAACTACCCCTGCAGAGGGTGGAAGCTTGTCCTGTCTATCACTGGTAATGTCCTTGATGGTCGTGGTTGTGGAGGTAGATACTTGGAATGAGGTATTCGAAAAGATGTTGGAAACGTGTTTGGCAATGGAGTTGGTGGGTAGGACTATGTATCTCTTCTCGGCAGTGTCTTCTCTGGGTGTGTTGAAGATGTTTAATGCCCTTCGTCTGCAGTCTCTGATGAAGTGATGAGGATAGTGAAGTTTGGAAAATACTTGTTCAGTTATAGTGCATTCTTCCTCAAGGAACTCATTGCTGCAGATTCTGAGTGCACGCAGGAAAAAGCCTATAATTACACCACATTTAGTTTTGGTGTGGTGGTGAGAGTAGAAGTGGAGAAGATCGTTTTGGTTTGTGGGTTTTCGATAGACTTTAAAACGAAGTTCATGGTCAGCTTTGCAGAGAAGAACATCAAGGAAAGGAAGAGTGTTGTCGACTTCTTCTTCAAGTGTGAACTGGATTGAGGGCTCGACCTGGTTGAGCTTGTCTTGGAGAGCTTGAACGTTGAAGCGTCTGGGAGTTATGAGGAGAATGTCGTCAATATAACGGAGCCAGGTGACAGACGAAGGAATAATGTTGGAGAAACGCTCGGCCTCCAGATGTTCCATGTATAGGTTCGCCAGGATGGCACTGAGTGGCGAACCCATGGGTAGTCCAAAAGTCTGCTGAAAGAGGTGATTCTCGAAAGAGGAACACGTAAAGCCAACACAGAGTTCAACAAGGTCGATGAAATCGCTGGCTGGAATAGGAATCGTCAATTTTCCTGCGCAAGAGATAAATGGCTTGTGTAGTAGTTACTTTGGTGAATAGGGAAGTTACGTCAAGACAGGTTGATCTGTTTGTGACTTGAAAAAGCCCACTGTGTGGGCGAAACGTTGTCAGTAAAGGATCACATTGTACTGCATATGTTTATATTTTCATTGTGTCGGTAATTTATACCATTTATTTCCACCTTCCTTTCTTTAGTTTCTTTCATTAAAAACATTTCAGCTGGCCTAGACATGTTCAGACAATCTATTTTACTCCTTTATTGCATTTGAAGAAGATTTGAAAGTTACGTGGGCGTGAAGATTTGAGTTACGTGGGTGTGGGTAGAAGATTTGAAAGTTACGTGGGTGTGGGAGGAAGATTTGAAAGTTACGTGGGTGTGGGAGGAAGATTTGAAAGTTATGTGGGTGTGGGAGGAAGATTTGAAAGTTATGTGGGTGTGGGAGGAAGATTTGAAAGTTATGCGAGTGTGGGAGAAATATTTGAAAGTCACGTGGGTGTGGAAAATACTGTATATATTTTCCAGAAATTCAGTATTTATAAAATGTAAATAGATGGCCATACTGTATTTAATAATATTTATGTCATATAAAACGGAAAGCCTGCGTCTGCGCAGACGAGACTCGCCATCTTGGTTTTGAATTTTGTACAAACGTTGGTATAATGGGAAGAATTTTTCGTGCTCTAGAGGTTAAAATTGTGTTGACACCTCTCAAATAGGAGGCGAAATTGGTGGATGTGCATTCCTGCATAACTTGAGATATCAGACGACTGGACAAGACAGCTCCAGGAACCTCAGATAAGCTCTCTAGATTTGTGTGTAATTCTGGCCAGCATTATTTTCATAGATTTAGTTAGAGTGAGGTTTTCTGAGTATGATACACATTAATCTCCAGTCAAATTGGTGAGTGATATTAAGATATATTTTCCTTCTGTTATGTAACTGTGTATATATATAACCATTTATTATTTTTAATATACAGTCCACAAATTTATATATTTACCAGTATTCCTGGTGTATGTATATTTCATTTAATTAATAGGTCCAGAGCAACTTGTGGTTATGACAGTGGTAGGTATCGAAGGGGAACATTTTGTGCGACCTAGGTGTCCCAAATTCCTACTTGTCTATGTAACATTGATAAATAATAATTATCTTTGTTATCATTTACTGTTATGTACATAATTAGTTACATTCAGATAAATGCAATTTTCCACAGTGGGTGTGAAGATTTGAGTTACGTGGGTGTGGGAAGAAGATTTGAAAGTTACGTGGGTGTGGGAGGAAGATATGAAAGTTACGTGGGTGTGAGAAGAGGATTTAAAAGTTACGTGGGTGCGGTAGGATGATTTGAAAGTTATGGGTGTGGAAGCCTAGTTAGAATCAGGCAGGGAGCCTAGCTGTGCCAGGATGCTTAATTATAATTATACCTAATTAGACTTAGCAATACATAGGTTCCTTAGAGTTCTTACATCAACATCTATCTATTAGATATTCTTTAATTCGCATTAATAGTCTATCTTTAATTCCCACCTTTTTGTAATTTACAGAGTGACTATACCTTGAGCTTAGCATAGGCCCCTTTCAAAGGAACTGAAACGCGGGAGCTACGAGGTATGTGGAAAATACTGTATATATTTTCCGGAAATACGGTAATTTATAGGTAAACAGATGCCCTATATTGTATTTTTAAAAGAAGTATGTTATCGAAAAAAAGAGGAGACTCGCCATCTTGGTTTTTGAATTTGTATTAGAAACGGTGGTGAATGAGGAAGAATTTTTCGTGCTCTAGAGGTTAAAATTGTGCTGACACCTCTCAAATAGGGGGGGAAATTGGTGGATATGCATTCCTGCATAACTTGAGATATCAGACGACTGGACAAGACAGCTCCAGGAATCTCAGATAAGCTCTCTAGATTTGTGTGTAATTCTGGCCATCATTATTTTCATCAAAGTGGTATACAATACCGACAGGTTGTTAGGTAAGACACATATGCAACAGTTAGACAACTTTATTCCGAAACGTTTCGCCTACACAGTAGGCTTCTTCAGTCGAATACAGAAAGTAGGCAGGAACAGTAGAGATGTGAAGACGATGTAATCAGTCCATCACCCTTGAAGTCGTAGAATTTGAGGTTGTCAGTCCCTCGGCCTGGAGAAGTTCAGTTCCATAGTCAGGAACTATCTGAAGATCAAGCGACAGTGCGGAGACTTAAATACTGTCGGAAGGAGAGGTGCAGAGTAGTAGTAGTAGTAGTGAGAATGTAGCCACTGAGAGGTCATGTCCCTCTCAGATCCAACACTTCTCACTTGAAAAGCTTGTCCAAGGTGTTTTCTGTACCAAGATGCCATGTGTTGCAGTGTCTGACAAGATGAACATCAAAATGGTATACAATACCGACAGGTTGTTAGGTAAGACACATATGCAACAGTTAGACAACTTTATTCCGAAACGTTTCGCCTACACAGTAGGCTTCTGTGCCTCCAGAGACGGACTCCACAAGAAACTTTAAAGTTATAACCAGGCAAGTACGTGTGTCTACTTCACACGTACTTGCCTAGCCAATTTTTCTCACAGGATTGGTCCCCACATCTAATT